CTTCCCAACCTTCTGGCAACGGTCCCAAGTCGTCTTCGACACGTCTAGTTTGATTTGGCATAGGACTAGCTCGACCATTGCGTGGATCAATCCAAGTTGTACGACGAGCTGCATGATCAATGAAGAAGGTACGTCCATTCGGCGCAACTTGCATCGACCACCGTGGAGGCAAAGGTTCTTCATCAACATTTAAATTCTATAATATGTTGTATAATTTATTTTAATATATAAACATAAAATAAAAGTAACTAAGTAATCATTTTTAAATATAGAAAAATATATATAAATAAAGTAACATTAAAAAAAAATTAAATAATTTGAAATTGTATTAAAATTGAATCGAGCATTTTACTTGTTCTGTTACGGCTGCGTTATCTTCCACGGAATTTCTTCTTGTTGATGATGCTGATGTTTCAGAACGATTACCACTATCAGGTTGATCACTATCTTCATTCTGCCGATTGAATTTAAGATGGCAAAGCATTACGCAACGAATTAGTTTGCAAATGATCGTGTTTATATAGGAAATAAAAAGAACAGAAACAAAAATGTCAGAAATTCATAATTTTGAATAAAATTTTGAATTTACTAATCCAAAAAAAAAATTATTAGCAAAAAAAAAAGAGCCAAAGCAAAATTTAAACAAATCTTTTAACGACCAAAAATTAATTTACATTTTTAAAAAAATGATATATAAAGCAATGTAATTTATATAAAAAACTATAAGAACACAAACTAATTGAAAAAAGAAATTAATTATAAAATATATGTGATGAGACAAAAGATGTGTAGATGTAAAGTTTTTGAATATATACGAGTAAAATGTTAAAAAGGCAGACAAAAAGTACTACCCTCGTTAAGTATTAAAGTACAATAAACTTAGCATAATTAGTATAAATTTTATAATTATATTTAATAAATAAGTAATTAATTAAACAAAATGGTTTAAATTTTAAAATTTAATTTGAGTATAAAAATTTCATTTAATTTTAAAAACTTAATTCTAATAAAAATCAAGTCTTTGATTAATAAAAAAAATGCGACTTGCACTTTTTGAATTATAATTGCAGTATTTTAAATAATATTTTAATTTTAAGTTATATTACAAACAAAAAAACTATATGCTATATAAAATTTAAATACTAAATTTTCTTATAATTGTTTGGGCAAAAAGAATTGAGCGTTTTTCTATGCACATTATTTGAAGTGTATGTTCTGTTCATATTAAATAAAATGTGCAGGATACAAAAAAAAAGATAGATACTCTAAAATATATATCTTTAGATAGAGTAAAGATACACTCACAATCAACGTTACACTCTCATGATAATTTATTTTATTTTTTATCAAAATTTATAAAATAGACATTAAAACTTCCAACAGAACAGAACAGAGCAGTATAACTTAACCGAAAAAGAAAACGTTCCGCCGTTTGTCTTATGAACCCAGAACATTTTTTGCTGAAGATTATCTGATTACAGACCATGAATAAAATTCCAACCTTAGTCTTCCACCTGACCCAAAGTACGGATGAATTTCAAACATAATATGTTTTATAATATGAATCACTTTCATATATTCCTACAAAATAATACAATATATTATATGATATTATCAGTAAAACTGATTCATATATTCCTATAAAATTTTTATTTGATGGTTGGTGGTTCCCAACAGAATTTTTTTTTAACTTATTATATATATATATGTATATACATATATAGAAAGCATTAAAATCAAATATTGTATTAATGAAAACTGTTTTGAATAATAAAAAAGTCCGTTGTTATTATTCAGCTATTACTTTATCATTGCTGAAATCCAATCTTAAACACAAATAGTTTATATGAATTATTAGTGAAATAGTTAATTTTGTTATAATGACCATTAACCATGAACTACACCAGCAATCATTTCCATTAATTTTTTTACATTTCTATGAAGAATATATAATATAATATAATATTTCTATGGCATACAAGCCAGTTTAAATCCATACACCCAAGTAAGATTATTAATCAATTGAAGCGATTTGTATGATTAAATTCGTAATATAGATGACAACAACAACTACAAAAGGAGGTATTTGTAACTCGTATATAAAATGGACAGTATTACAAGTGGTAAACTACGTGAACACAGTGATATTCAAGTTATGAAATATAGTTTCGAAATGTACAACAACAACATTATTTACTTAAATGTAGTATATAAAAATGGTTGCATTATTGGACAAAAAGAATATACATGTATCCTTTGTGTTATGAATAAATTGTCGAATTATATCTAACCGCTTCTCTTGAGGTCTGCCGACTGCCAAAAATGTCTGTTGAAATATGTTCACCAAAATGTGATTGCTGTGATTGTTGGCGTTCCATGTTATTGCGGTTACGCAAATTTGTCATTGCTCGTCTCGATAGAGCAGTGGGTACTCCAGGTGCCTGCCGCACTGGGCGTAGATCAGTCTGTAAGCTAGTTGCAGAGATTTGAGACCTATTAGTCGGATGTCTTAGTGAATTGTAAACAAAACTATTTAAATAATTAAAAAAAAATGTTGGAGGCGAATTCAGTAAAGTTGACGAACACAAACAGGTATCATATAAATAAAGAAATATGGCTTTATATAGGCAAAAGAGTTAAACAGAACGAAATGTGTTTTTTATTACAACCTTTCATAATCCATGTTTGAGTTGTTGTTGTTGTTATTGTTGTTGCTGTCATTATCACTGTGACTACTGTTACTGTTATTATTAAAATTGTTCGAACTGTTTGAATTTAATGATGTTAATGATTGGGTTCTTGAGATTGTGTTTTCCTCTAGACTACACTGACTGATGGTATCCTAAAAATTATGAAAATTCATGACAAATTAAGCAAAATATGAAATAAAATTAGAAAGTACAAAAACTTATAACAAAAAAAAATAAACAAAAACAATAACTTAATTGAAAAGAAATTAGCAACAATTGTTTATAGGTGTACAACACAACTAGCCCCATTTTATGAAAATTTTGGATTTGTACCAACTACTACGCTTCACACTACCGAATCACACTAAAGTTACACTTTAATAATTAATAATAAAATCTATTTACAAAAATACGTGTCAGGTACAAATTTGTATCGAATATATCACAATTTTCGCTTTCCAACTGATTACTGCTTTTAGTTGAAAACAAATCGTCACTCGCAGCGCTATGATTCTCTTCATTATCACATATATGATTCTCCACATCACTGTGTTCTTCATGCTCATCAACGTTTTCGTTTTCGTTTTCGTTTTCGTTGTGATATGAACCACAGTCAGTACAACTTATTCTTCCATTTACAGCAGCACGACCATCACACGTATCACACGAATGACAACAGTCCGAACATGATTTACAGCTGCTATCCATGCTACCTGTGCGGGAGCTTGTGTTGTTGGTAGCACTGCCAGTCTCATTTTCGTTGATGACTGTAGAACAATTTTCACAATTGTTATTTTGCGCGTGTAAAATTGCCGTCACTGTACCGCCCACAGGACCATACTTTTGTATAAGGTTTAATTATAATTATAATTACAATTATAATATGATTAATTTAAAGATATAAGTAAAGTTAAAAATAATTTTAAAAAAATTTGTTAAAACATGCAACTATTTAATATATATTCAAACCAATTGAACATGCATAACACCTCGAATGATATTAGTTAATATCACCACCTATGTACACCAGTTAATTTGGTATTTCTATAATGCTACTGTGAAACCATATATATATAATTACCGTCGCTCTGCCTGTTTCGGAGTCATCCACACTTATATGAAAACGTCTTTGGAAATCTGATGCTGCTTGTTCTACATTCACATTCGCGTTATTGATTGTTAATCTATTTGTAAAATGGATTTTAATAAAGTTTTGATAATAAGACCGAATATACCTACGTGGTTGGTCTTTCCCATTGTGTGGTGCGTGCTGTATGGTTCACGTAATATGTGCGACCATTAGCGTCTTGACGTTCCTCCCAACCAACTGGTAAAGGATCTTGACCACCATTTGCTGTAAATGGATTCTGTAATAAAACCAAAATATTTATATAAACTCAGTAATACTATTTTTATTTTATTTAATGATATCTACCATATCTATGTACTTACAACTGTTTGTGTTGCGCCATTAAGTGAGACATCCTCCACATGCTCCCATTCATTTTCAGCATTTGTTTCGGCATTTTCTCTTGTCTCATGTATGAATGCATGATAAATTTCTAAAGTGCCTTTTATACGTGACTTAGCGCTATTTTTTTTTTTTTGATTTTTTTTTTGTTTGTTGGTTAAGAGAAATGTAAAAAATATTAATAGTATCAGAATATATAGAAACATTTGAATTGGATACACAAATATGTCACACTAGTATGACACTACCACAACCCAATAAACTAAGGACAATAAACACAACTTAAAAACTAAAGGACAATAACAAACATAAAATATATTATATATAATTGTTTTCAGTTTACATGAAAACACCATTAGAGAAAGCATGTTTTTCCAGGGAAATTTAAGTGAAGTAGTCAATTAGTAAGAAGGCAAATAAATACGTTTAATACGATGTTTACTATAAAGGTGAGGTGAACTAATTGATTTCTCATTTTAGAAAACTTTTATGAATCGAAAACAAAGTAGAGTAAAACTACTAAAGAATTTCATTCTGCATACAACAAATTTATCAAAACCAAATTTATAGTTTTCTGGTTGACCTTGTTTTCAAAAGAAAATATAGAAACAGAAAAAAAGTTAAATCATAAGATAACCAAAATAAACATACCCTACTGACCTTCTCGGCCTAAGCGCATAACTTTGTGGTCCAATAGTGCGTCCTTCTTGTTCTGTTGGTAAATTGACCAGAGTTAATTCGACCATACCTAGGAAATCATCTCGCGTCAAACGGTTCTCATCGAAAACTTGAAACACTAATTTATGTTCTGATGGCTTTACCTGAGTAGTAAATAAATATTAATAAAATTAATTTTAAATTTTAATAATTATTTTGTAATTAATTTTAAAACATATACAAAAGGAAAATATAATTAACTTTTCAAGTTAATTATTAATTTTCATTCTTCGCAAGGACTTCAGAAAAATCACCTCAGTTAGTGCAATCACTTTTTCTTCTTTACATCCTGTTATCATAAAAATATTAACAATAAGGTTTCCCTATATTGTTAACATTATGATTATAACCCCTAAGAGTTATCCCAGCAGACAGAAAGTACAATCAGTCTACTATAATACACTTAAACGTCTTGTTAAATAAACATGAGAGTTTAGATTTACGTTGAGATAATTGAAGCATTGAGGATAAGACAGGCAGTGTGCGAAATTGATTGAAATCTCTTTCCAGATTGTAGTAACTTGCCAGCTAACTTGATGGAACGGAGTCAGGGAACAATTAAGCTAAGATTTATATATACCAAGCATTTTAACAATATCATAAAAATTAGAGGTCTGGAGACATCTCAAGAATTTAATAAATAGTTTTTAATAAGTATATATTTTGCATATGAATATTTCCATAAAGTAAGTAGTAGCACTTTAACTCTTTATTAACTCGAGGTATTATTTACCACTTCATCAGACTAAGCAGTAATTAACCTCAGGTATGCATACCTCCCCGAGGAGCCTGTAACCATTCTGAAATTCGATAAGGCGGTGTTGGTAAGTCTGTCAGTTTTCGCAAAATAATGGTAATGTTAATTTGGATATGGCTTATTCAGCATCGCTTCATTAAGAAATCAAGTAATTACAATTCGATTTAATAGAAAATTCGGTCAACTAAAAATGCAGTACGAGACCAAGGTTGTCAGACAACAAAGTTCTTAACATGTGTTGCTATTGTGAGAATTGTGTTTCGATAGCTTAAAATATATCAAGAACTCTATGATATACTATAAGACCAGGCTAACAATATATAAGTAAAACATCTTTAAACTTTTTTTCAGGGCTTAAGAAGGTCTTGGTCATCCACTGTTGCCTTAAGTGTTTCACTCAGGAAATGAGTTTAAATAGCTTTAAAAACGCAGTGACGTCACAACTTTATGTCACGCGGCGCATTTAATATATAGTAGAGGTGCGACAAGCGCTATTACAACGGCATTACTAAAGCGCAGTTTTGCAATAAGAGAATAGATTATATCACAACCAAAAACATACGTTTGAGCTTAGTGTGCTAGACGACCACTTGACGTTCAGATTACACTGACTTAGGGTTAAAGTTTTACACTGACTTAGGCATTCGATTGTTTTAGACTACATCAGAAATAATATACATCGATTTCAAAATACAAGAAATACAAAATCGTACTTACTCTGAATACGAATTCTTCATTCCAAGTGGGATTTAGGGTCTATAAATTAAAAATGAAATTTCAAATAATTTTTTATCATTTTTGAGAGAGTTATTATATATATTTACTTTTTTTTTGGTCTTTGTTAAGACCGAATCAATATTAATATCACCATTTATTGTGTTCAAATCAATTCTTACGTAGGGATCACTGTAATGGAAATATTATCGATAAGAACATGCAATTATATAGGTGTTGTAGTTACCTAGCACCAAAAATATCTTTTTTCGCCAACGATTTTCCATTTATCACAACAATGCGCAAATGACACGTATCGGCAACGTCATTCTGAAAGTAAAAACCAAATACATATTTAGACATAATTACAATAATAAAAAATAATAAAAAAAATAAAGAAATTTAAAAAACAAACTACAACTAGGGCTTTGGTTTCTAACACAATGTGATCCAATAAGCGACACTCAGCTGTTGTCTATTTAAATAATTAACGAGTATTGTTGGACTTGCAATACACATAGCAGCAACAGTGCAAACGTGCAACAGAATTTCGAATCCATAATTTTGAACAAAATGTTGGGTCGGTCATTCTAAACGACAATACGTGTAACTGCGTATATAATCCGCAACGCAAAAACAAAAAAAAAGTAAGTCAATATAGACATACATTTAGGTTGAAGGGTTTGTGTTACTGTTTTTGCTTTCATTTGATGCAATGCGACATTCTCAAAACCATGACCACACCATATCATAACTATTGACGCATAAACGCCTACTTGACGTACATGCCAGTGGTAATTTCACCCACTAGTTATTTGATTTGTGAGGAGTGCATGTCTATGCATATTTCACGAAAGTTCATGGGTGCATGCTTCAAAATCGCATACTATATTTGATCCTCTTCATTACGAGTATATTGGCACTTGCAGTTGATGTTTTTGTCAGTAATTACTTTATTTATATTACTTCCCACATATACGATTACGATTTTACACTATAATTTTATATTTTGACCCATATGTACGTATTTAATAATAGTTGTATAGAATGCACCATGGAAATTAACTTTGACTTTAATGACACGTAAGTACTCCATGTACTGGAGGTTTTTAGAATTCATTGACAAATATTTTTTAAAATCGATCAAATAGTTGGATCGATAGTATGAAATATGAATTTCATACTTTCTATGAATAGAATTCTATATTATAATCTAATCAATCAGTAATATATGAAAACAATTATTTGTATCCAGATATCTAAAATGTTTACCAAGATAAAAAAGGTAGCATTCTTTTAAAAATGATTTGCTTCTAATTTAAAATTATTTTAATATTTTAATTGAAATAATTAAAAATAGTATATATTCATATTACATGAGCAACAACTACTTCTGTACTATAATATAATAAGCAGCAATCTGACTCTGACATTGTAGATATTAGATTCGCTTTTAGATTCAAGCATTCACTCTCTTAAATAACTTTTGTTTTTTAATTGTCAATATCCTCGAAGTCACTCGTCTACAACGACCAAGTGCTCTTTAACACTTCCGTTTCAATTTCAACATCCACAAGGATAATAGAGTGACTTCAGTAACTATTAAATTAATAATATAACTAATAAAGAAAATATATTCTGATTGCTTAGAGGTCATGAGAGCTTTTATGGAAAATACTTAACTAATATTCGGTCATTTCAAATGTTAGTTTTTCGTAGTCTCTGAACTAAATTAATTTGAGCCTGTGCAAAGCCAAAAGAACTCAACAGTATTTCGCCGAACTTATTGAGTATACAATTATATATACGTTTATACAAATGTTTATATATAGTATAGTCCAAAGAAAACAAGATTTATAAAAAAATATATTTTTAGTATCTCTAAAACCAGGGTTGTACATGTCTCAATGGCCTGTTCGGGCGTAATAAAACGTTCGTCACGAATTTTTGTTAAAGTTTTGTTCAACCTTTCGAACAAAAATATCAAAATTCATCTGACAATACTTAGTGTTGCCTAGGCGCAAGACTTAAAAGACAGCCTACGTAGAAGTACGTGGAATTAGAGTTTTAAAATTCGTTTTTACCTTGTACTCCACCTTCATTCATACTATATACTATACTTTATAAGTTAACTAAATTCTTTTCTCTTCATTTTGTGTGTAGCAACATTTCACATAATTTAGAATGAAATTATTAGCAGTACTTACACTGATAATAAGCGATCTAAATCTTAAGGTCATATTTCTGGAAATCCCTGATAATTTACATTAGCTTTTAGCCATGGCCTTAACTGCATTAAATACAAACCAATGAATATAATGCCGTATGCGTAGTATCTCGCATGATATTACTGCATTTAAACCTTCTCATTGTTATTATATATAAGTTGATGTGCACAGTTTGTTGCCGTCAATATATGCTACCAAGTACATGATATCTAGTTGAACTAGCGCTAATCCTCAAACCAAAGACTGGCCAATTAACAAATTAACTTCTAAATTAAGCACAGAGAACGTGCATTTTATTAATCACTTTGGTAATGAATTCTTTGCGACCGCAAATCGCTTTATTCTCTTACATATAGTACCATATTAAAGGTAAGTATCGAACAACACGCCACCGCCATCACCTCCACTCGATGCTGGTGGTTCTTGATATGTACTGAATGATTGATGTTTGCTTTGGTCACATGTCCAACAAACACAAACGTTAGACACTTAACCGACACCACGAAATTCTCATTCGAACACATTAAATTGTTGCTGCTTGGCATTAAGGCATGGGCGTCAACAACGGCGTTTCAATTTGATAGATGAAGAGCAACAACAAAAATTTTATTAAATAAACTATAGCAATTTTAATGAAATAATTCAAATACTTATCAAAGCTTATTTATTATAAAAAGGGAAAAAATTAAGTTCATAAAAAATATTTTATGGAATTTTAAAGGCACCACAATCAAAAGTCAACCTCTTTTTATAACTCTCAGCCCCATTGTAGGGCATTTAAGGATTTTCTGTTAATAAAAAAATATCGTACCGGATATGCCGCCATATTGTATAAAATATATATACAAAATATGACAAAAAAAAAGGAAAAAAGGTTTAAAAAAAATATGAATGCAAAATGGAAATTTCAAAGAAAAATAAAATATTTACATAAAACTTAGTTGAAAGGATGGGCAAATATTTTTTAACAGACTGAGGTACTGCACTGGCTCACTTTATGCCCCAGCGTTCCTACCCCTATAAGCAAGGTCATAGCGTGAAAGGTACAATATAAAAAATTAAATATGCACATAAAATCATGGTCACTGATGGTGGTACTCAAAGTTTTGGGAATTGGAATTTCGTATTCAAAATCCACAAACATCAAATGTTAAATTCATGAGAATTTTACGTTTTTTTAGTGTTTTTTAGGAGAAAATGAAGGATTAAGATTTTTGTTTTATGAGTTTTATTTGTGTTTTCAGCTTATAATTTCGTTTTTAGTAAACTTATTTGCTGCTTTTTGTTTAAAAGAAAAAATATGCTCAAGTGTTATAAAGCATTCAAAGCATAAAAGATAATCATCGCATTTATACGAATTTTATGGCAATTAAATTAGAAAAGTTAGGTAAATAAAAATTTTTTAATTAACTGATCTCTATTCAACGAAATGAAAAAAGAATCGAAAGGACTTGGGAAGTCATTATTTTATTAATGAATAAACAAAAAGGTTGTTTCTGAACTTCAATGAATTATATTTAAGTAGTCACGAAAACATTCACAGAATATAATATGCAAATAGAAAAGCGAATGATTTTAATGCAATTCATATGCAACCCAACGAATTCCCTCTCCCTGCTTACAACGCTTCGACTCTACTCTTCAACCGAGTTTATTATATTCATTATAACCTCAAATGTAGAATGTACAACTAACTTAAGTTAATCATCATTATTGAGCTAGTTCTCTTTACCTCCTTAACTTTTTCTTCTATTACATTCAGTATTCTTCACTTCCTGGATTAGATTAATTTAGTTTGTTAAGTAAATATAAATTCTTTTCAATATCTCTTACATTGCGAATAGTTTAAGTAGCGTAATTTAACACGCTACTAATATGACTATAATATATTTATATATATATATATATCTTTTTTTACAACTGGTTTTAGCGGATACTACTTGTTCTGGTATCGACTAGAAATCTTCACGCACTTGAAAATACAAGAATAATTTATACTGCAGACTAATATACTACCAAAATATTGCCTTTACCCCTCTATTGCTCTACTATCAACCCACGTACAACATATGTTACTTGTGTTTAATTTGTGAATAACGAGTAAAGGATTAACGTTTGAATGAACTAAATGCTTGCACCTAAAAGTACATTTTTTCGAGTATGTAAGAATCATACGAACAAAAGCTAATAAAAAATATTTGTGTTATAAGCTCCGAAACTCAAGTTCTTTATTAGCAACTAATTAACTGCTCTATAGCCTGTTCACTGCAGACATAGCGAAACTCGAGCCTTCTATGCTGACGACACTTCTATTGTGTACTGAGACAAAATAGCCTGCAATGTCTCCAATACCATACACGGTCACATTGACGTGCTTGTTCAGTATTTTAAAAAGTGGAAAATAAAACTGAACGCAGAAAAGACTCGGGCAATTTTCATTACCAGGAAGCGCCGCAAAGCACCCAGAAAATTAAAGATAGAAGAACAAGAAATAGAATGGGCCGATACTCTCAAATACCTAGGCATAACCTTTGATAACAAGCACTCCTGGAAAGCACATTTCAAGTCCAAACGAGCTCAACTGTTTAATATAATTGACAGTCACAATAATCCAACTCTCAGCATCCTAAAAATACAGCGTAATTTGATAAACACAGGCAGATACAAAGACATCAGATCCATCATATTATAAAGCCCCGTATTCAGTTATTTAGTGTGACTTAAAACTGTCCACAGATAAAATAGAGTAAAGGTGCTGATTCACCAACTCAGACATCTGAATATCAATATAAAATAAAATTTTTAATACGTAAAATGCATATTAATAAAACACTGTTTTTTTCTCCTCTGACTGTCATGTCAATAAAATCAAGACAAAAAACTGCTGCGTTTTACAAAAATTTGTGAAATTAATATATTCGTAAATTGTTCCGGATCTTTCAATACCAGATTTGAATAATGGTATCGATTAATTTAAAAAGTATTCAAAAAAAGTGAGCTGTGTCAATTGCACAGGAAGTAGTTCATTGCTGCTTACAATCCATTAACTTGGCATAAACAAATAAAGCAAATAATAATTTTTGGATTTGTCGAAGCTTGAATAGCGTCTACATTGAGTTATTGATTATTTTCATA